GTGCACTGAGCTCTCTGTCAGGCTTTTATTTTGTAATCCTTTACTGAGCGCGTGCACTGAGCTCTCTGTCAGGCTTTTATTTTGTAATCCTTTAGTGAGTGTGTTGCCACACAGGATAAACTGCTTCCTGTGTGTTTCAGGACATGGTGGCGTACCGCGGCGGCGGCACGTATGCCAGGAACCCCAGCTCTTCAGCTCAGGGAGGAGAGGAGGAGGACGAGGATGAGGGCGAGGATGAAGAGGAGGAGGAGGACGATGACGAGTAGAGACGAAGAGCTGCAGCTGGGAGAGAGAGTGTTAGAGAGAGAGTGAAACAGGTGTGTGTGTTTCAGAGTGCAGGTCAGGGGGCGGAGCCTCACAGCAGGTGTGTCTACGTTTCAGAGACTTCCTGTTCCTCTGTTAGGGTGTGTTTCTAAACACCGTCCCCCTCTGATAGAAACAAGGTTCCACCTGACAGGAAGCACACTAACACTTCCTGCTGCAGCTGATGGCAGGGACAGAAGAAGAAGAGGTCAGAGGTTAACAGCTGCTTGTGTATAGATCACATGACTCCATCTGGTGAGTCTGACAGCATCACCTGGGTACAGACGTTTATTTAAACAGCCTCAGCCTGGCTCACAGGTCACATGACCACAGGAGTCATGTGACTGAGTGTCGGTGCTGGTGACAGAGGGAGGCGGAGTGCTCTGAAACACACACACCCGACCACAGAGAGTGTGTGTGTGTCACTGTGTGTGTGAGAACAGGGTGTGTGTGTCTTTACAGTAACGTGTGTGTGTGAGGTCATCAGATGTTAAACTGTCCCACAGCAGAGGACAGTACAGTAACCCCCCTCCTCTCACTGTTACCATGGTTACCCCTGCACCCTCCACCCCTCCTGTGTGTTACCATGGAAACCCCCGCCCCCTTCAGCATCATGTTGTTTTTATGTTGTGGACGTTTTTGTTCTTCGTTCACTGTCAGAGTAGAAACTTCAACTTTTATAATAAAACAACCACCTGAGGGAAAAACCCACCCGGAGTCTGTGCTTACTCGCCGCCGCCCACCCTGACTCACATACACACACACACACACACACACACACACACCTGTGATCTGTGAACATGCAGCCAGGTCTCTTCGGCAGGATAAACCCTCATCCTCACTGTTTGTGAGAGACTCACGCAGCACCCTGACTGCTGGGAACAGAGCCTGTCCTGCAGATGTTACATCATGACTCCAGAGGTTAGACCCGTCACAGTGCTGCTACTAAATATTGTCAAATCCCTTTTTCATTAGCACCTGCTCAGATCGACTTGGGGTGACAGATTTTGCGTTACAATCGAGTACTACCTAATGTACGTGGCCGTCGTCATAGCAATGCGGCCGAGCGTGACGTCGTTAATACGGGACACAAACACTGCAACAAAGGTGGACGTCGAGGCGATGATATAAAATCTTCAGAGCCAGCCCTGCTCTGATATCCTTAAGACATCCTGACACAGGCCTGAGGGGTCATTCTGGTTAAATGGCAATAAATACCAAAAGCAAGGGCCTGAGGATGGACCCTTGAGGTACACCACACGGGAGTGGGACAGATAAGTTTATCAACAGAGACAAACCTCTGTCAGACAGATGTGGCTTCAGTCACTGAGGCAGCTCCTCTAATGACAGAAATCCTGATGTACTGTCAGAGTCTGCTGTGGCATCTAAAAGGAGTCAGTGGTTAATAAAAACAAGTGCAAACTGTGCTGTGAGTACTTTAAACCTGACTGAAATACCTCAACAATACTGAGTCTAAAGAAGACAGGGTTCAGTGGTGTCAAAGGTCAACCTGCGGTTAACTCTTTACCTCAGCTGGTAAACACACTGATGATTTAAACTAGTGTTGGTCTTATCAACAGATCACATGACGTCTGTGTTTTAGCCTATACAGTTATGGTTTCTGTCCTTATTTAGTTGAATAGTTACTGTTAAAGTTATGAGTCCCTCCTACAGGTAATACCTGCAGGAACTGCACTTTGTTTCTCACACCTACAGCTGACTGCCTTCAGTGTGGACGTCCTTTCTTGATACGCTGTTCATCACTGAGTCCGTGACTTTCCACGGGGTCCTTTGTCCTGTGTTTGTGTTTCGTTCTGAGAGAAATGATCAGCTGTAACATCCTCGGTACACCTGACAGATGCGCTCACACCTCCATCACCAGCTGTTTGACCTGCAGCTGGAGCAAGCAGAGCCAACAAACTAACAGTGAGCCCATGTGGGGTGCACTCCACATGGAGTAGGTCATCTAAACAGAAGGTTGGTGGTTTGATTCCTGCCTGCATGTCAAACAGAGGGAATGTTAGGAAGCTCTTGTGTGTCGTGTGTGAGGCATGTTGTAAACAGTGCTCTGATTGGTCGAGTAGGACAGTGCTGTACCAGTCCATGCTGAGAGGCAGGTGTAGCACATATTAA